ATTAGATGTGAAAATGAGTGGCTGCAATTATTCTATTGACCAAGCTCAAACTTCAAAAGAAATTTTCGCGAACTTTGTGATACATCCAAGCTTCCAAACTTCACATTGGATGGTTGTAAGTAATTGTGGCCACTTTGTATGAAAGGTAAATGGTCTCATCGTATACAATCTCTCGACATAAATATCTATTTATTTATTATGATATTTAAAAATAGTCTCACAATTTTCAATTTTTTTTGGCGGTGTCCCTTTTCTTCACCCTTTTGTAACTTTTTTCCATTATACCCTACGGTTGGAATTATTGGTTCTTAATTGAAGGCATATGGATTTGGGAACTAATAGTTCTGAAGCATATTTTTCATTGTTTTTGAATAGTTCGGTACCTGTCGATTCATTATTTTGAACCGGTGCACATGGGAAAATGCAGTTCGGAACTAGCAATTCCTATCTCTAAAACGAGGGAGAGGTAGTTCGGAAATGACAATCTGAACTGCATTTTTAACAATCCTGAACCATTCAAAAATGGGAAAAAGACAATTCAAAACTGTTAGGTTCTGATCGAGCTCAGTGTTTGGACCTAACCGTAAACCCAAAAGGGCATGCTTTGGACCTATAGTTATGAAATAGGAAAATAGCCGGGGCTTAATTGGTTAGCGCTCGACGATTTGCAATACTATGTCTTAGGCTCAATTCCTACAAAGGGTAGGGGCCCTCTCCCCACTTACTCACCCTAAAAAAAAAAAACCTATAAGTTATGAAATTCATTTTGTTCGGAAGGACTTGTTATGACTAGAGGGTATTTAGAAAAAAGAGAAAAGAAAAACGGCAAGAAAAAGTAACATCCCCTTACTAGAGGGTATTTAGAAAAAAAAGAAAAGAAAAAAGGCAAGAAAAAGTAACATCCCCTTACTAGAGGGTATTTAGATAAAAAAGAAAAGAAAAAAGGCAAGAAAAAGTAACATCCCCTGACTAGAGGGTATTTAGAAAAAAAAGAAAAGAAAAAAGGCAAGAAAAAGTAACATCCCCTGACTAGAGGGTATTTAGAAAAAAAGAAAAAAAAGGACAAGAAAAGTAACATACCCCTGACTAGAGGGTATTTAGAAAAAAAGAAAAGAAAAAGGACAAGAAAAGTAATATCCCTGTAAACTTGAAATTTTTAGAACATTTTTAAATAAACAACAATAAGGAGATATCTATG